TTTCGGAAGGATACAAGGAACCATCAAAGAATTTACATAACTACTGATCTATAAATTTCTGCTAACCTCTCCATAAAACAAGCACTTGATGGAAAGCACAAGGTTTAGCCGAAAATTGTAATTTGATGTGTCTTACACTCAGCAAGTAACATTTTGGATCTAGAATTTGAGCCAATTAAGAAATAAACACTGCCTTACATTATCCCAGTTGAGTTTGTCTGCACGGGAGTCAAACCGAAGACTGTCTTTCTGTGGAATATCTTTCTCCATACGCTTCATGAGTTCCATTAGGTCTGCTTCTGGCCAGTCAGGAATATCTGCAACAAATATAATGGTATTCCACTTTATGATATGCTCTACATAAATGGTTATATTATAGAGTGAATCAGAAAGTGTCATATGAAAGAAATTTCACAGATAAGAAAACTGCATGCACAAAGATCTTCCTCAAAATGGAACTATATCAGATCCAATCAAAGGAAGAAACACATACAGCACAAGGTTAATAACCCTCAGCTCATATGTTGCATCACAGACTAATAATACTTGTGTCACTATTATAATCTTTAAATCACATTATTTACTGCATACATCAATTTTTAACATCTTACAATCATGTTAGATACATGTAGATGTTGAATTATTTTTACTACCTGCAGAGCACCATCAAAATATACAATATGACAAACACATATTTACAATAATTTTTTACATACATGAAATCCAAATTATGAAAGGGTTTGAGTAACTGAACTTTTATGCCAATGGGTTAAACACTTCACTTCATGGGGCAAAACTAAATGGATTAACTCACCAACATTTGACTGATTTGTGTGATGTGTCTGGACTACATCATCATCATCAGTTTTGACAATGGGGTCCCTTGCATCATTTGACTTCTTACTCCGTGATCCACCCACAATGGTCCTGGAAGACTTACTGGCTACTGAGGTAATACTGTGGCTCGTGCCTCCACTGTCATTCAACCGCATCTTTTTGCCTGCAGATTCTGTTACTTCTACGTCAAGAGACAGTGGCCGCTTTTTCTTGGACACCATTGTCAGGATGGTGAAGTATGTGCTGTAAGATCAATTAATTTCAAATTCAATTATCTATAAGGTGCTAGCTAGCTGTAGACCAACAATAAATTTCCAATATGAAACAACAGAATTTTTTTTGCAAATTTCTGAAACCATTACTTCATAATCTGTAAATGAGATATAAATATATACCCCAGCTCTGATGCTGTGAAACAGAATAAAATGACTGTCTGTAGGGCACTGTTCCCAAACTGTGTTTCATGAACCAATTCAGGACAAGAAAATGTTCAATTTTGCTCAACACAATGCTTAAGAAAATTAAATGTAGTATAAATAAACTTTTTATTTGTCTAATGCAGTGGATATTTGTCTCCTTGGCATATAGACTCTACTGTTTGAAGGAGAGGAAATTGGAAATTTTTTGGTTAAGCATCTCTGGGCTTGCAGGCTTGGAAACTGAAGCTGTTTATTGTTTTTTTCAGTTTTATGTTTAAATCATTGGTTGCATTTAGTGATGTGATTAATCCGAGGAGATGGAACAGGCCCAATGGCCCAATCCGTAAAGTTATTGATGACGATATTTATGGGGCAAGATGACCATATCAAATTTAATATACCTTGTTTGATTATTAGTTTAATTAATGTGCACTGTGGGGCAATATGATTAGAAGCTGGTCACTGTGGCAGCATGGTCAGGGGCGTGCGTCTTGACTGCTCGGACAATGGGAACCTAGGTTTGAATCTATCCAGGACATAGATGCTTGTCCTCAGTTGTGTTGTCCTATGTAGGCAGAATACTTGGGACAGCCTAACTGATCTCTTGTCCAAGGTGTCCTACCAAATGTCTAAACAGCTTAATAAACACCACATATGAGATTGCCAAGGTCCTTCAAGGGATGTAGAGCCACAAACATCTGAATAACTTTGCAACTGTCATGGTGGGTTAAGATAACTTTGTGTGCAGACTGTAAAAATAATTAGGTCCATTCAACCCTTTAAAAATATTACACATGTTCTGATCAGCAGGAGCCAACTTACTTCCTATCTATAACAATTTGTCTTTCTTTGGTTGGTCAGTCTCTGCTTATAATCATTAGGCCCTTATACTACAAATTTATAATATTCTATGTGAAACTGAACAAATTCTGGAAATGAAACTGTCAAATTAAATCGGAATTCGATCTAGTGACGCTGCTACAAGAAACATTAAAATGAGGACCTATATATATATAATCATCTACCTCGAACTGGGCCTCAGAAAACGTTAATTAGCGTATAATTTTCTAAATGCAATTCACAAACCCGATAAAAATTATGAATAAAATACTTGGCACAAACTACTAAATAGTATGCAATTTTATTATTTAAACGCGAAGATCTTGAAGCCAACACTGTACACCGCACTCAGACGCCTTATCCACCGGCTCTCAGGCTGTGAGCCTACCGCTCAAGCAACCACATCTTTCCCGGTCTTAAAGCCCGGGTGTAACAAGCGGCACGCAGTCCGAGGCTAGCCGAAGTTACCGACCCACATCGGATGATCAAGACGGGGCTGGGGCGGTGGGATCGCCCGCCCGCCTGCCTGCCTGCCTGCCTCGCACGTCACCGAGACCAGTCCCTCACGACATGGCGGCGATCCCCCCATCACCCGCCGGAATCGTGAACAAGGCCTCGCCCGCATTCCGCTTCCAACCTGACGACCTACACGCAACACAACTTTCACATTTATCTGATTATCCATTACGAAAGCTAACGATATAATCACACCACGCCAATTAAAAATGATCATGGATTGTACCAACATATCTATAAAGTCTGCACATCAATGAAAACAGTGTAACGAACAGAAAATATTCCATCGCAATCCACGGAATATGGTTGCCGGCTACTACAGCCGCGATCGCGGTCAAAGAAATCAGTCCGGCGGCCATCTTGAGCAACAACTTACAAAAATACATTTTCTTGCACAATTCAGCTGAAAAACAGCTCAGAAATGATAAAAATTAATCACCACATTGCATATAAAATATTACGAAGCTAAATCAACACATTAACCCTAATCTAATAGAAATAAACAATCACATACAATTCAACTACTTTCTGCACAACTCGTCCCTCTTAACACGTGTGATGGGATTCGCACTTTCAGTAAGGCCAATGTTACAGGCAAAAATCGTTAGTATCATAAGAATCAACATTGTGTTACTAGTTGTAAATAATATACACACTAACTTCATATCTCTGCGAACTGCGTTGAATATATAAGTAAATAAACAAAGCCAGTAGCAGTTTAATGTTTATGATTTCATGTTTGTAAACATTATGTTGGCGAACTTGTATTCTGACATTACTGTGCTAACACGGACGTGTCACAACACAACACGATGAGTAAATAAAAGACAAAGAAATGCCATTGCTTCGTTTGATACTGAAATGTTTACACGCCGTAGATTTGAAAATAGCACGTGACATGGAAAAACATTTCAATTTTACCATTAAATCCATCACCCCCACTGGAAAATTGTAGTGTTCTATTCTAAATGCACATTTTCCCATGCATATCAATAGCAATTGGCCAAAACAACCATAAGCAAATGTACACATATTCATACATAGGTCGCCTACCTACTGTTACAGTAGTAAAATGAAGGATATAATGGACTGGACTTTAAAGATTGACGGGACAGAAACAGAGTTTTGGTGGAGATGTGGAAGGCAGCTCAAGAGAGGATAACAATGAGGTGAATTAGGCCCTAGAATCATGTCAGATGGCAAGTATTAGTCACAAATGACTACCAGCATTAGTTATACCAAATTTATGGGTTTCAATGTCAGGCAGTTTATCAGTAATACAAGAAAAAGTCCTTTATGAACAAACAAATAATCTTCATTTACCTGCTTTAATTTAACACTGAAAGTTACACTGCCTCAATCACAGATTTCTTTTGGAAAAATATGGTGTAATTATTAGATTCTAAAGAGTTCTGGCGATAGTGGATTTCACTTAAAATTACTCACTATCTGGATTTTTTCCATCGGCCTTGTTTAAAAGAAGAAACCACGTTTTGGTAACTGGCTGTTTCCATCTTCAGGTGAGGGGTACCTACTCAGTTGGTAAATTGAGAGATAATTTACAGAACATAGTGTGGACAAAATTACATGAAATATGGGAAAGTTTTTGTCATTAGATGAACAGTCCTGCTGGAAATATTGATAAAGATGATGGTTATAATAATAGTAATTTATTTACATACAACTAAATCACAGGCATTTAGTGCACACATCAGAACTTATTGAGGCACTGGAGGAGAATGTTGCGCAGCCGAAGACGGAGTTGTTCATCACCCTCACAGAAAATGTGTGTTGATGAGTCTTCCACCTGAATCAGTGTGTCTTCATTTTGCTGGAAATAGAGAAAACATTATTTAGTATAATATCAAACCTGTTAATTTACTACCGTCTTTTACATTTGTACCTACAACAGGAATTTCAAAAGTTTCTTGTATGTACACTAGAGTGCAATGGTCTGCACAAATACACTCCCTTTGGATTTACTGTCTGCTGTATATAGCAGCTGAGCATTCTCATTGCCACCACATATTACCATTAATGGCATATCTTATGAAGCCTTGTTACATGATATAAGTACAATCTGCCCTGTGTCGGAAAGAACCAATCTGCAACACTCCACTGCCACTGTGATGTGCGAATATTGCGGCAGGCCTGAAAATGGGAAGTGCTGAAACATTTCCTTCTTGCCTGGACATGTCAAATTACTTGACACAACAGTTATTGTAATCACATCAACATATTTCATAATGTAGTCATGTTATTATTTTACATTTTCCTAAAAACAGCAGCCTTATTAAACAGTGATATTTTTCAAAGATCTGTTACCATACCAATTACCAAACGTTATGGTCAAGTGGCTAACACTCCTGCTTCGTGTTTGGGAGGTCCCAGGCCTGTAGATCAGCTATCCTGACTGAGATTTTTGTGGTTTACCTCAGTCCTTCCAGGCAAATGCTGGGATAGTACCTTAAATTAGGTCACAACTGCTTCCTTCCACATCCTTTCCAATTCACTATATCTTGTCATTCGATGCTTAATAGCTAATGAAAAAAAAATCATTGTAAAAAAATTACAAATTTTGCTGGTGCAGTTCACATCCCACAAATTTACACAGTGTGCCACTGCAATTGCATCATTAATAACACGGGTCCTAATGATGAGGCCTCCAGTGGCATGATGTACATACTAAGTTTTGTGAAATTATCTTTTTAAACACACCCCATATTTTAAATATAATTTTTAAATCATCACTGCATTTCTTTGGTTTAAGGAATTATCAGTGAAAAAACCCTGTTTCTGCCTATTTCCCACACAAGCTAACCACCTGTAGCATTTCACAAAGTGAATTTATAAATTACAATGGAAATATATATATAAAAAATGTCTGCATCTACACTGAAAATCTCAGTATGGAAACAATTTTTTTCTCTGTCTTCAAAGTGGCTACTTTCAAAGAGGTTTCATCATAACGTATCTGTGTTCAGAACTTATTTATCTTTTCTAACATATTGCATTACTTAATTTGACTACCCTAAAAATATCAGACAACTGATAAGAATTATGGAGTTCTTTCTGATTTCCCAATTCCTTCTTCCCTCCTAGATCAAAATATGTTCCTCAGCACTTTGTTTTCAGACACCTGCAGTTTATATCCTTCCAACAGAGTATGAGACCATATTTAATGCTCCAGTCGGTTCATTATAATAAATTATCCTTTGAACTAATAAAGTGTTGTGATTTTCTTACCAAATGAATTATGTAGCCACTGGCAACCTGTTCAACCTTGGCATCAGTAATTCCTTCCTGGGTAATCTTCTGGATGAATTCATCAATATCCAGTGATCCCCATGTGTAATTACTTGGTTTCTTATTCAAAATATCTTCCACAAGCCGAATTCGTTTCTTACCTACTGTGCTAACAGCTTTTGGCTCTCCTTCTTCTAAAACCTACACCAGAACAATTGTATCAGAAGTTTGTTTGATATTCAGGCAAGTGCTGAAAGTAAGAAAGTAACCTCATGCCAGGCTGCAGCACAGCACAGGCAATTCATTGCTAGCTTCTCATTGCAGAGTAGGCTGCATATAGTAGAGGCCAAGTGTGTGTATCCATTTGTCCATATTTTTCATCTGTGGGACCAGTTACATGACTTGAGTCTTATATGGACATGCATAGAGAGATCTTTTTATTCTGGATCAAATGAAAGTTATTCCCTTCAAAATGTTCCTTTCAATATCATTATAAAGTTGCGTGAAACCTGTTATGGTATAATTTACAACTGGCATTCATCCTTAATTTCATCTGATACCTTTCAGTGCCATGCAAGACACGTTTTATGCACTCAAAATGTAAATGTTGTATGTTATAGATTAATCTTCTCTCACTCCTCCTCGTAGCCGACACTCTGCTCACACGAGTACTATGTTGTGCTGCAGTACCTTTAGCTCTTTGTACCCTGAGTTATGCACATTCAATTGGTGTTTTTGTGTGGTCTTGATCCCTAAGAACAGTCACTGTTTATCCTCTGCATATACACATTTCATGCCATGCTCTGTGGGTAATTACAACTCATCTATATTGCCAGACATCATAATCTCTCACATGGAGGCATAAGCATGGACAACAGTGTGTACAGCATGGTGAAAGCACAGTAACCTTAGCACTGTACCCTCAATAAGTCTCCAATCTTTTTATCTAGTTAACCACTGAAAATATTTTATTCAGAATATAGCTGACTCTGATTTTAAACATGAGTCCATAAAGCTAAGTCTTTGATGAAAATGAGTTTGGTTCATGGGTTTTTTTCTAAGGAATACAAATTCTGTGTAAATTGAGATATATCAGTACTGGAATTCATTTCTATGGATATAGCATCATAAAATCACCAATAACCAAGGCAGTAAATCTGAGACAGGAAACTATGATTTACCTTGAGGGTGTGCTTGTTGTCCTTGACCTGAAGGCTCCCAGTGAGCGTGGACAATGAAACTCCAGTCCGCACTTCATTTGGCAAGAGGAACTCGGCCAACTCTGGACTTAGTTCAACTCTTCCTTGCTTTCTCTTGAGAGGCAGTGTAAGAACCTCGTCTCGCTTGAATGATATAATTGGTCGGTCTGTTTCCACTACCAGGTCAATTCGATGGGGTGCTGTCACAGGAGGTTGGGTGTATGATTCAGGCAAAACAAGTGTGCCAGGCTTGAGGTCCCGGATCAATTTGTTGGCCTGTGTGAAGTTGAGACTAGTGTCAATAGGGCAGTGTACTGCCTTCATTGATAGAGGTTGGAATGGGGCCAGTGCTTCCAGGTAGGGAAAATCTGGTTCTGAAACAAATGGGATAGCATTGGCAATCAGTGCATAACAAATCTAAGATACATATATCACAATATTGAAGTGCAGATCACACTTTACCTGTGAAGACAACAGTGTTTAGAACATTGGACCCCCACAACTCCACAAAGTGAACAGCATCTCCAAACCTAAGACTTGGGTGACCGCAGAAAACCACACAGGGCTGGCGATAATCAGTGCTAAAACCTTCTGTATAGATGTGTTTGAAATGCTTCAAGCGACCATTACGCACCAGAAAAGCATGAGGAAATGGTTCTTCAGGTAGGTACACTTTGTTCTGCTTTGCTGTTGACAACCATTCTGCCAAGATGTTTGAATATGCAAGTGATGTGTCTGCCACAGGCGATATGAAGAACATGGGTATTGTTGTCATCCCTGAGTTATCAAGGTGGCTGGAGAGGCACTCGAATAAGTCATAGACAACTCCAGATGGGTAGCAAGGAATGAGAACATTACCACCACACCTCAGTGTTGTGGCCACAGTCATGCACAATTCTCCCAGCATGGAATCAGGGTTTGCAGTTGGAGTCTGTGTCAGACCAGTGAGAATAAGCACATTGGCATTCTTCAGAGCTGTCTGATCCATGGGCCGTGGGTGGGTTGTCAACGTAGAGGAGCCACTAACATACGTGATCTTTTCATAGTGAGAGGAAATGACCCAATTGCTAGAACCAAGACAGTATCCAGAGCTAACTGCCATTACACCCACAGCTCCATAGACATCGAGTTTCTCATTATAACCAACCATCTGGAAAACAAAGGTTCATTAGTATAGGCTTGAAAAAAACAATGCAAATACAACTGAAATGCAGCTTACAAACTAATTACACTAAACACTGAGCAAAATACATAGCAAACTTTCACCTTATAAAGTGAACTACTTCATGCCACTGAATTATGAACTTATATAATTGTTTTTGGATGTATGCCAACATTAAAATTTGTACATCCTATATCAAACCATCCTATATCTATCATCAATACCAGAAAATGTTCTCCCTCAGTATGTTAAAGAATACCAGTTATGGAATACCTTAAAAGGGTTAAGAGGAGGATCAAGCCATGGAATGAGGAACTGTATTTGGACCTAGAGCCACTTCAGCAGACCCAGGATGGACGAGTGAGGGGAGAGAAAGAAAAGGATTTTGTATATTAAAGTCTTCGTCAAATTTATATGGAACAAACAGGAGCACTCAGATTGCCTAGGTAAAATGAAAACATGTAAACTATGTGTTCAACATTATGTATTGCACCTGTCCAATTGAGTGAATCTTGAAGTCATGGACAGCTGAAGTATTGATATTCAAATGCTGCATACCTGAATCCTAGCAAGACTACTGTTCACAGCACGCATGTTATAGATATGCTTCCAGCTGCGAGGTTTCTGACTGTCACACAATGGTGGTGGCAATACGTGCAGATGTTCCTTCCAATGACTGGCCAGTGTCGCTTTTGGTGTCTGCTCTATGTGCTGGACCAGTTCTTCCAAGAAAAGTCTGTTCAAATTATATTGATTGATTAACTGACTAACAGCTGACTCAAATGCAACAGTTATTCAGAGATGTCAACACATTATACCAGAGGTTTCAATCTATTTCTTATACTGAACTCCTTGAACAAGAACATAAAGCCCACATACCCCACTAATATGATTAAGTTTCATGTATCAACACAATGAAAATACATAACTAATTTCTCCTTTTCTCATACTCTAATATTGCTTTATTTCTATAAAAATTAACAACTTTATTCTAAGAATGCATCTAGTTGGGCTCTCAAAATATTTAAACCAATTCTGGTATTTATTAAATTCAGTAAATTCTAAATAACTTCTTCTTCCAGCAACATTTTAATTTTATACAGGCCAATGATCCAAATAAATAGTAACTTACGTTTTGACTTTGAAGGCCACAGACTTCTGACAAAGAGACGTACCCTAATATAAATCAATATTACCCAATTCAGGTATGACTTAGTAAAGCATCTTTGCCTAAAATACATTGTAATTATTATATACATTCTCTATCTATAAATTACTACCTTCATGGGCTCTAGACATAACCTGCTGCCTAGACAATTTACCAGAACAGTTTCACAGTATCACTCATAGATCACTTAAAGTACTCCACATTTTTTTGAAACATATGCTTGCAGTGACCATGGCACAGAGAATGAGAAAATACAGGCCTTCTGATGGATGTGAATGGGATGCATGTTTAAGGAACTATCCCAACACTGGATCAAAGGAAAGGATAGGAAAAGAGGTGGGTGTCATACATAGTCTAAAAATAATGATAAAGAAATAAATCATTTTTCCCTGCTGGGAATAATACCCTCATTATCCAGTATGTTGCTAGTGGTCACTTCAAAGATTGAACTATTCTTGTCCTCATTCTGATAATGGCATTGAACTAACCTTCCAATCTGAAGAGTAGGTTCCGTGGCATAAACCACACCTGCAAATCCTGTGCCTTCTGTGATAAAGGGCAGAGCCAGCATACAAAGGTAGTTGGATATTAAGATGACATCAACTTCTGAGAAGTCAATTATTTTAGGTTGAGGTGGGAAGAACTCTGGGGCAGAATCCACAAATACTCGGCCACAACATTCCTTGAGTTCCTAGGGACAAGGACAAAGTTATATCACATCTCGAGCAAATATAAAATCAAGACATTAACTGCACTATCTGAACAAAGTGCAAGAAAGGAATGCAATATAGGGAGCTCATCAATGTGAGAAGGTAGTTATCAACATTTTTCAAAAACATACTGCCTCTATTTACTTCAACATTGGATTAGGTCAGTTCAGTTTACAGTTTTAATTTTTGCTACAATAACTACATCTATGATTTTCAATTGCATTTCCTTTATCCTTTTGTGCTACATAAAAGCTAAATTTCAGATAGCCTTTAAAAAATCTAAACTTACACCTTCCAGCTGTGGGTCTGAAATATCACGTGGCATCCATCCTGGCAAGTTGTTTAATCTTGTACTAGGAACTAATGGCAAGGGCAAGAAGTTCAGCACTGTCTGTGTTGCCAAACCACAGTCTAACATCAGTGTTATTTCTTTAAAACGAAGAACATAGCATGGCCTGTTTGGATCACTGCTCAGACAATACTGAAATAAACCAAAAAATATGTTATGGCTTTGTCATTAGAATTACTACTACTGCAGTTTGGCAGCTTATGTCACTGATATGTAAATAAAACCACGATTCACTAACAGTATTGCAGAGGGAGAACTTTGTGTTAATGTGCAAAAACAGAAGTAAATGGTGAACAAGAATTTATGTTCTTTATTTTAGTTCTCAATCATTTAGTGATCACAAGCATACTCTAAAACAAGGCACAGCATGAGTGAGAATAGCAGCAACTAGAACCCGACCAGAAAACAGAAGCCACCAACCATCACAACCATCTAACAGTTAGTTAGGTTAGGATAGCTTAGTACGCTGATTTAAGGCACTACACTGTAGTTTGGTTGGGAACTGTGGCAAATTTTTGGTGCTACAAACTTCAAACAATGTCGTGGCTTTGTATACTACAATTTTACCAGGAGACTCGTGCATTACTAAATACAGCAGAGTGGGTGGATATGCTACCACATACACATTCATAGCGTAGTTTCAATTAAAGTGATACAATATATAACTACTTACTAGCTTCATTTTTAACAGCACAG